TCAGCCTCATCAACTGCCCCCAGAACCCTGAAGATACACATCTTTAAATCCTCCTCACAGACAAGGTCAGACAAGTGCCGCTGCAGAAGTCATATAGTCAGCATGTGGTTAGGTCAGCAGGTAAACCCAGGTCCACATGAGCTCCTAACCACTTTACCATACTGCCTCTGCCCACTTACCCCTTTCTTAGCAGCAGCGGGCTTCTTCTTGCCAATGATGGAGCTTTTCAGTTCTGTGTGGGAAAGAGGGTGGGCATGAGGACAAAGGAAGGTCGGAGGCAGCAGCTCAGTCCACACCATGCAGCTTCAGGGCAAGAGCATCCAAGAACAACTTCAGGCAGAGGAAGGCAAAGCTGCCATGAGTTCTAACCAAGGGTATCCAGGCCAAAGACACACAGGGTTAGGGGAGCCTCCTAACTCCCAGCAGGTTGCAACAGTAACCTAGACCTGAAGAACCAAAGACAAAGTCCCAGAACCAAAGTGAAAACTGTTAGGCAGGCAGGTGCTAAACACTAGCCTCAGCTTTTGAGCAGGGAGCTGGCTCCCCAAGCAGCTGCCGGTTACCTCTGGCAGGAGGAGCCCCTTTAGCTGACAGATACATGGATCCTGGAGGAAAAACAGACTTGTAGCTAACATGAGGCCCTCCCCAGAACCTTTATACAGCTCCTAAGCTCAGAGAGCCTGCTTCAAAACAAGCTATGCCAGTCTTCTCATGGGATCACTACTCGGATAGTTACTCTGCTGGCTTCCTGCCCCAACCCCCAAGAGTCAACAGAACAAACCAAGGTCGGTGAAAGGACTGTTTACCTTAACCAAGTCTGAAGGCCACTAAACAAAGAATATGGGCCCACGACCGGACCCAAAAAAAAAAGAAAGAAAGAATATGAAAGCACTAATGGACAGGCCAGGGACTAGCTTTGAAAGGACAATGTCTCCTCGAGCCATCAGCAACTCAGAGCTGTCCCCACACCTCATGAAACAGAACTGACAAGCCAGCCCTGCCTGACAACAAGGACAAGGACCTGGTCCCATGCTCTCCTCCCCACACTTTTGATAGACCGGGTTCCACATCCAGGTTTGTCAGCTCAAAGGGTCTGGCTCTGAAGTCAATTACAGTCACCACCCCAGAGAGATCAGATGCTGTCTCCTCTGACCTCAGTCCACATGACCCAGGCAGCAGAGATCTAGAAAGAACACATGGGGCCCACCTTCTCCCAACCACCACACGCCCACTAGCTAACATACTGACCCAGAGAGGCTTTAGGGGAGGTTCCCAGGAGGTCGGTGTTGGGGCCAAGCTCAGGCTCTGTGGATGAAATGACAGAAGTTAAGTATAAGGCTCCCAGAATCCTGCAACTTCTCCTTAAAGGAAATAATAGGACAAGAGTCACTGGGTTTCTTCAGATTGCCACCCAAAGACACATCCCCACCACTTCCTCCAAGAACCATAATGAACCCCATTCCACCCAAGGTTACAGAAAGACACCCTCCCCACCCCAACACACGCAAGCATCCCCTTCTTAGCACTGAATCCTTATCCAAGGCCAGGACACTTGGTTGGAATGTTGGCTGAACTCACGTGCCAGACCACTGCTCTCTGCAGACGGGGCTGGCTGCTGCATCCCTGAAGGCTCAGTGGCTGGTGCATCCCAGGAAGGAGGCTGCAAAGGTGGCCAGAAGCCTCAGTGAGCCATTCCTGCTAGCAAGAAGCACCAAACACCAGCAAGTACCTTGTGAATATGAAACCCTACTCCTAGCCATGCGGAAAGAGCCTAGAAGTTAGCAGGTAAAACTACAGTCGCTACTTACCAGGAAATGAACATACAGCAAACCAGCCCACTGTCACCACACCCCAGGTGTTTATAGCCTGAGACCATTCCCCTAATTGAAAAATCTGCTAACAAACTCTCAGGTACTCACTATGCACCAAGTCTTAGGGCTGCTCATGTACAAATACATTTACTCACAATGAGCCCTATGAGAAAGCTATGTCTCCATAGTAGAAACTGAGGTTTTGACATATTAAATGACTTGGCTACATCAAAGAAATGCCAAGTCAAAGAGGGATTTGACACTGAGTGCCAAGAGAGTAGCTTTTCTCACAGAGGTGGGTCACAGGGATGGAATTTTCTTTTTTCCCTAATTACAGTGCCCTTCTGGGATATCTAGAAAATGTTGTCTGGGGCCCCTGAGATCTCCTCAACTGTTAAGAAGCTGCTTCTCGCTCTACTAGCCCACTGCTCAGGAGTTCATTTCTAAGGCACCCCTACATAGAGAAAAAACAGCTGGTCCTACTCAATAGGAAACAGTTATCAACTCAGTGGGCCTCAGATGTCCTGAGACATCACACCTAGGCAAAGGGACATGATCACAGAAGGCTAGGGCTGCCAGGTAAAATACCCCTTTGTAGGCACTCACCTGAGTGTGTTCTGTGAAGAAATCAGAGTCCTTCTTCTCTGGAGAATGACTAGGAGCACTGCTCAGATTGTCTATCCAAAGCTGGTAGGAGGAAGATACCATGAAACACAAAACTCCGAAGACTGCCCCTCACACACACAAGCCTATGTCACTGCCCAGGTCCAAAACAGGCACTTACATCGGTACCATGCCTAGCCAAGGCAGCACTCCCCAGCTGCCTGATTTTCTCCCGGTACATCTGTGCAGCTCGGCTATTATATTTGGTATTGGCATCATTAGCTGTGCAACCATGTTGGCGAAAAAAAGCTGTCTGAAGAGCAAAGGAAAGAAGAGTGCGATTTGGTTAAATTTTACCAGAGTAAAAAATGTATTGTGTATGATAACCCTCAATAACAGATTATACAGAATGACACATTACTGACAGCACCAGTTTTGCAGACAATTCTGCCAAACTTCTTGCAAAAAACACCATGCCACTTCCTATCCCAGAGATGACGAGGAATGGAACCCAGGCCTCAACCTTACCCAAGGTAAGGTTGTACCCATCATCCTTCCAAGTATCAGGAAAAACCTCAATGACTGTGGAGGCCCCAAGGCCCTTGGCCTTTTCTCAAGAATATCTGCTCGGCTTACTTTGAATTTCCTTTGAGAAAAGCTGTGACATTTAGAAAACAGTGTATACAATAGTGGTGTTATAGACCATATAATCTTCCAAACAGAGAAACTGAGAGAATCCTCAAGAAAATCACAGCAAAGTGAGTATCCAGGGTCTTGCACAAAAAAAAAAAAAAAAAAAATGGGATGGGGTTAGGTAAGAGGAGCCTTACCGCATTAGCATTGCCGCCAACCTGCATACACCTCAGCTGCAACCAGCTCCAGTTTGAATCCAACTCTGTGGACCTGTGTACAAGGGCTGTGTGTCATCTAACAGCCGATACCAGGAGTAAGCATATGCTTTCCCTGGCAGGCCCACACCTGTCATTTAGCCTGGGGCTGCTGTAGGTGTCCAGGAAACATTAATCAGTCACTGCCCCATTTCCTCCACTCTACCCTGCGCTTGAAAGTTTTGTTCTTCATTCACCTTCTCCAAAGGGTACTAATTATTTCCCCAGATGTGAAAAAGGTCACATTCTTAGGCAGACGAAATCAGATTTGTCTTTTCCCTTGAGGATGGTCACATTCCCACTGGAGACCAATTCAGCCCCACCTCTCTAGCAGGGTCAATGCAGCTAACTTTCCCCCTAAATTCAGCTTCAAGTTTGATCTTGAAGAAAATAATTTTTCTACTGGTAGAGACAGCAAAGGGCCCACACAGGCAGGTCCTTCCCACAGAACCTACCAAATCCCCGGCTCGGAGGTTTCCAAACACCCGATTCAGCGCGGTCCAGGCCGAGGCGCTGCCCTGGCCTGCTGACCACACAGGCCCGGCGTCAACCCAGCCGTGCGCGGAGAGCTCACCTGATAAAGCTGAGGTGGACGCCCAGGGAGCGGTGCACCCCGGAGCAGTCAATGCACAAGAAAACACCGTACGTGATGCTGGCCCAACTCGGACTCTTGGCGCCGCAGTCAAAACAGGCCTGAAGGGAAGAGGCGACAGGCGAACGGTCAGCTGCCCGATTCCAGGCCCGGCGCTGAGACTCCCCCCGGAAAGCCGCCTATCTCCGCCCTTCTTTCTCCCTCCCTCGAAACCCAGAGGGGCAGGAGGCTTCACCCCAGCCGCGCCAGGCCCCGCGCCCCACCCCTCCTAGCACCTTGTTGGTTGGAATTGCGCGTAGCCTCTTAAAAAGAGTCTGGATTTCGGTCTTGCTCGGCTCCGCCGCCATTTTCTCTCCTTCCCAGACACAACCGCGACCGATGGGTCCTGCCGCGGGCCAATCCGCGGAGGGGAAGGCGGGCTAATCTGACCCGCCTCCGCAGTACCCAGGCCAGCCGAGGGGCGGGGTGAGCCGACCAGATCTGGACCAATGAGCAGCGGGCGCAACACGGGATGACGTTAAAAGCCGGGAGCTCCACAATGGCCGTGAGCGTACACGCCCCGCCTCGCAGAGCCAATCAGCAGCCGAGGCCGGCGCTGGCTCGAGCCAATGAACAGCCACGGCCGACGACGGCGCGTGGGCCAGGCCAAACTTTCTCACGTGCGCCACCCAGACCTCCTAGAAGTTGGAGCTGCTTGCGGGGGAGCGTGCCCCGCTGGGGCTCGTTCCTGGGCCTGTCTGAGGAATGCATACTGATTACAGTCTTTCCAGCGTTCCTGGTCCCACTCGCCCAACAGTGGCAGGGCTTCCTCTCAACTCACTGACCTGATTGGAACGAGTCCCTTCCAGCACAGATTATTAGAGTCCCGAAACTCCCGACCAGGTAGCAGATGGCAAACCCTAACCCAAACCAGGCCCCATAACACATGTTCAACCTACAAAAACCCCCTCCCCCAGGTGCGAGAGTGGAATACAAAACAGATCGACTCAAAACTGGACGTGGCAGTATACTACACACCTATAATGCCAGTCTGGGGAGGCAGAGGCTTAGACTATAGTGTGAGACCCTGTCTGAAACTCTCCATCCCCAAATAAGATGCACACAACACCTGATTTTTTTCTTTTTAATCAAGTTTAATAATACACACTAGAACAAGTCACAAAAGAGGGTGCTGCTGCTAACCCTAGAACTATACTCACCTCCAAGCCCACCCCAGGAATCCCAAAACATCAGAAACTGGATCTTCTGCTCCTGGAGAGACCCGTGTCCCTGGGGAGGCCCAAGCACCCCTCAACCCTTCTGTCACACTTCCCTCCTCCCATCCTATCCTCAGACTCAATTGGCTTTTCCCCTTCCTAGACACAGGCCCCTTCCCTCCCTGAGTCCCAGAACTTCCTCCCTCCCCAGGAGACAGAGAGGTAGCAGCAGCATGGTAGTTCAGGGCCCTCAAGTCCAGATCTATAGGAGCAGCTGGGTTCTGACCCAAGGTGGAGGAACATTGCAGTAGAGCTGTCAGGGCATTCAGGCACCTACACATTCCACGTAATTGGCAGGGTACAGACCAATGCGACCACTCTGCAACTGGCCCTGACACCAGCCCTGCTCATCCTCCTCGCTCATCTTCAGAAGCTCCTCCCCTGGGGAAAGGGAGATTGGTCATAGTCAGCTGCCCAGGCCTGGGGAGGCTGTTTCCCCAACCAGGTCAAGGACTGAGGGGGATGGGGCAGCACAAGAGCCTGCCAGCCAGTAAGAAGAAACCTGGCTCAGGCAGAAGTAGTCCAAGTTAGCAAACTATCCTACCCCAGACCCCAGGAGTCAAGCACCAGCTGGCTGGACCCAGAACAGCCTAACCAGCCAGAGAACTAACCCTTAAGAAGGCGTCTTCTCCTCGACTCCTACTCAAGACAGGTAAGGCAGAGGCTGAACTGGGAAAGGAACAGGAGAAAGAGGCCCATGTTACCTGCTCGGAAACTCAGCTCATCAGCTTCTTGGCCAGCGTAGTCATAGAGTGCTCGAACCCGCACCCCAGTGGCAGCCTTCCTGGGACTGTCCTCATCTGACCACTCTTCATCCTGCCCACCACTAGATGGGGAGAAAGAAAGAGTTTCAGGGCATAAGGTTGACCTTAGGCTATAAATGTCCCCAGGACTTTGGGGCAAAGGGCTCACCCCTTAAGAGGGATGCTTTAGAGGTAGATGGGAAGGACTTGAAAGCTAGTCACACCTCTGCCAATCACACTGAGTGAGATGTGTGGCCAAAACAAGAGAGAACATGGGAAGTTTCTGACAAATCAAAATCTCTGTGAAACCTGGTATCATTACCTCTAAGTCACCCTCAGATCCCTGGTATCAATGTTCAACCCACTTCAGTGTGAAGGGAAGGACTTAGAGAGAGAGAGAGAGAGAAAGCAGAGTTGTTTCTCTTAGCCAGGCTCTAGGCTCTCACCCTGGCGACCCTGGAGGCTGGGATGGAAGAGTAGTGCCATCTCTGGTGGGCATGATGCTGGTCAAAGTAACCTCATCAGGGCTCCGGCCACCCTTCTCCTTCCTGCTGATTGTTCTCTGTGTATCCAAGGACCACTCCTGTGGGAGAATGCTCAGGGTCATGCTGGGAGATAGCTGTGGTAACAGTAGAGCCATCTGGACCACCTTCACCTACTTCATCCCAATCTCTGGCTTCCTTCTAGGGTTCTTACAAAATTCAAGCCCCACCCAAGCTGTATCACATGCCTCAAACTGTGGCCAGTTCATGGCCATTCCCGGCCCGTGGGTGCTACGCCACCAGCGCAGATCGTCCTCATCACTAGCTGCCTCAATGCCCTGGTGCAAGTCTCGGTGGAGTTCATGGAACCTAAGGTCAGAGGTGTTCAGTAAGACAAGGAAGTTCAGGGCCCCAGTACCACCCAATCTCCATTCAGCCTAACAGAGCCCAATGGAGGTGGAGGGGACTCCATGCAGCCCTCACTTGTCACTGCTGGAGAGGTCAAGGTGCTGGTGCAAGGTGAGCAGCATCTCCTTGAAGAAGAGAAGTCGCTGGCGCTCTGCAGCCTGGCAGCTCTCAAAAGCCTGCTCCATGTCCTCCATGTAGCGTGGAGTATAGCGGTGCAGCTCCGCCAGGGTCTGCTCATACTGGGTTTTTGTCTGGGACAAAGAGAAGGGCACTGAATTAGTCCTAGATCTAGGATCAGACTAGATCCTGGGCAATCAGGATTAAGACTGGTTTCAGTCCTCAAGCAGCTTTAACAAGGGAGGTGACATTCAGGCACAGCACTTAAAAGAGTCTACTGGAATTCCAGACAGCCGACTCCAGACAGTGAGTAGGCTGGTGGCTCACGCCTGTAATCCTAAATACTCAAGAGGCTGTGATCAGAGGAAAGCCGTTCAAAGGGCCCATGAGACTCTTATTTCCAATTAACCACCATAAAACTGGAAGTGGAGCTGTGGCTCAAAGGAATAGAGCACTAGCCTTGAGCAAAGAGCTCAGGGACAGCACCCAGGCCCTGAGTGCAAGATCAATGACCCAAAAAAAAAAAAAAAAAAGCTGAGAGAACTCAGAAACAGTTTCCTGGAAGCTGTGGACTTGGAGGTGGACACTGAGCAGACCTCAGGGTACAAAGAAGAGCTAGATACACAATGCTAGAGGGAAGAACACTCTAGGCAGAGTAAGCAATATGAAAACTCCTAGGTACAAAGAAAGAGCTGGAGATCTGTTTTTTGTTGTTGTTTGTTTTGTTTTTAACCAGTCCTGGGGCTTGAATGGGCCTGGGCACTGTCCTTGTACTCCTTTTGCTCAAGGCTAGCACTTGAGCCACAGCGCCATTTCTGGCTTTTTCTGTGGTTAATTGGGACTTTCCTGCCTGGGCTGGCTTTGAACCATGATCCTCAGATCTCAGCCTTCTACGTAGCTAGGATTACAGGTGTGAGCCACCAGTGCCTGGCTGGAAATCTTCAAGTGCTACAGACACCCCAGTCCTGGCACTGCAGTACCAGTTTCTTTCTTGGGTAAAGCAAGTTCATTCTCTCAATGATCATCTGGAGAAGACTACACATGGGAACTGAAGCAGGAAGAGTGCTGGGGATGGGAGCAAGACTCTCAGGAAACCCTGGGCCTGTACCTTCTCTGCCTCCTTGGCACAGCGGCCCACCCGCTCCTGCAGTTTCCGCAGCTGCTCCTGAGACACAGCGCTGTCTGCCTTGGCGTGGTTCTCCCGGGTCTGGGCTGTCTTCTCATCCTTGCGGGCTGCATGGTAGCTCTTCTTAGAAGCCTCAACCTAGCACAGATGGGGACAGCTTGCAACCCTGGACACCATGTCCTGATTCCCTTGAGCCCCAATGCAGACCTAAAAGGGGCCTGCCCGGATACCCACAGCGCCACATCTCACCTCCTTCAACCTCTTCAGCCAGGGTTTCTGGGCCTTGCGGAAGCCATCTTCAGCAGCTCGGCTCTCACGGAAACCACCCAGCACTGGCCGGTGAAAGGCCCCCCGCTGCCAAGTGCGCACCCGCTCACTGTCCGGCCCGTGCAGCTTCTCCCGCACCTCCAAGTGTAGCTCGCTCAGCCGCTCGGCAGCAGTGAAGAAGGCATGCCAGGCCTTCTCCAGTGTGCCATATTGTGGGCCTACAGAGAAAAGGGACTTGAGCCATGCTGGGGTAGCACCCCCAATGAACCTCTCTCTCCCTACCACTGGGCTCTGTTCTGGAGGGCCAGGCCAGAGCACAGTGAGGATAGGGCTGCTGTGACCCAGGCAACCTCATGCATCCTTGTCCCCACCGCCACCATGAGGCAGGGTCATTATTAATATGAAACAGGGAAAGAAACCGAAGCCCAGAGTAGTTAAGGGAATTTTCCCAGAGCATTACAACTACCAATGGATCTGAGAATCACGCTGCACAAACGCTGCACTTGGGATCTTCCCCCAGAGTGAGAAGACCTGGGCTCCCTCTCAGCTCTTCTAAGCTGTGTGACTTCAGGCAAGTCCTTTAGCCTCTCTGAACTTTCAGTTTCTCCTTAAGAGAATGGAGAGACAGCCGGGTGCTGGTGGCTAATGCCTGTAATCCTAGCTACTCAGGGGGCTGAGATCTGAGGATCTTGGTTCAAAGCCAGCCTAGGCTAGACAATCCGTGAGACTTTGATCTCCAATTAACCACTAGAAAACCAGAAGTGATGCTGTGGCTCAAAGTGGTAGAGCACTAGCCTTGAGCAAAAGAGCTCAGGGACAGCACCCAGGCCAGAGTTCAAGCCCCACTACTGACAAGAAAAAGAAAAAGAAAGAAAGAAAGACAGACTGGGGAGTTGGGGGGGAGGGTGTTGGGATGGACTTATTTGGAAAAACATGCTTGCCTAGCATAATCAAAGTTCTGATTTCCATGCCAGCACAGCAAAACCATCACAAAAACAAAAACACCTGCTCTGAGGGTCCCACCCACAGTCCTCTGTTCCCAGCTAGACCTGCACAGTGGGCTCACCCTTTTCAACAGTGCCTCTCCATTTGCGGGCCCAGTCGGCCAGCTGCTGGGCATAGGCCTTCTCAATGCGGGCACGCTCCTGGAAGCAGCTGACCAGGTCCCCACACAGCCGGTGCCCATCTTCCACTCGCTGCACCGTCCGCCTGTAGTTGCCAGCCTGGTCACATAGGAGAAGGGTAGCTTTGCCAGAGAGAAGCCCACTGGAGGGCTGCGGCTGATGGCTAGGCTCCACCACTGGAAAGGTGGCTATGCCCAGAGACAGGAGCATGTCGGTGCCATCCCAAACCCAGGCCCCAGCTGCTCACCTCCCAGAAACTGCCCCCTAAGGCCTCCCCTCCAGCGTCTTCTTCTGGAGCCATGGTGTCCCCGCAGCACGGAATGGTGGCAGATTTGGGGCTGTGGAGGGCAGAGGGTAAGCAGGAGAGTTGTTTTGATACTTTGGGATCCTCTCCTATAGGAGAGGTCCTATTTCTGGGCTTTCCCCCAGCCCCAATTCCCACCACCCAGGGAACCATCAGAGCTAGGACTGAGATAGGACTGGAAGGTCTGAGAAGGAGCCAGGATAGGAGGAAAGATGGCAGTTTCAAGGCTGGTCCTCTCATCATGGGTCTCCCCTTCTCCCTCTCCCTCACATACCTGGAGTCTAGAGACGATTACTTCAGGGACCCAGGTGTTCTTCAAGTCTCCAAGCTGCCACTGTGACTCTGCCTTAAAGTTAACAAGAGCACAGTGGAGAGTGAGGGTGGGGGGCCTCCAGTGTCCAGGGCGGTGCCCAGCTCCCCCAATATAGCAACTGCTGTCAGAAGCGCCAGATTCCTGGCGGAGAATGCCAGGCGGGTCACACGATCCAGCAGGGGATTAGATGGCAGGCGGGGGGTGGGTGGTGGGCAGAATGCCCACTCCCCCGCAACAGATGAGAACTCCTATCCAAGAAGGGCCCCTTGAATGACAAAGCAACCGATGAGCAGACCAGGCCAAGCCAGAGGGCAGCCTCAGCCCTCTCCCTCAGCTTTCCATGCTGGGGAGAGTGGAAAGAGAGCCAGGAGCCCTGGGTTGGCCAGGAAGCTTGGACAACTGTTAAGGGAGCCTCAGCTCCCTCTAAGGTGGAAATTTCCCCCACTTGATCAGCTTCCATGCTAGCACTGATGTAAACCAGACAACAAGAAAGAAATGCCAGGGACCTAGTAGTCACAAGGACAGACCTGAAGAACCCCACAAGCACCAAGCAACTCAGTCCTTCCTTCAAAACACACACACACACACACACACACACACACACACAAAGTGGGGTACATCAGGGAGCCAGACAGCCTAAAGCCAGTTAGAAGAGTGTTCTCTAGAATCACCAAGGAAGGCAAGGTGAATTCCAACTCCAAGACTAGAGAACCCAGTGGCAGCCAACCCTTCCCCTCCTGCCTTTGGGCAGGGTCTCAGCTGTCCCCGGCACTGACTGACTCAGCCCTAGAAGGAAATTACTTCCTCTGCTGAGTAAGCCCAAAGCCCAAGGGACAGTCAGGCCAGGAGGACAGAGTGCACACCTGCTGCCCCAAAGCAGGGCTGCCAGAGCGCTCCCTTCAAACCCAAATGGGCCTCTACTTATCTTTTTTTGTTTCGTTTTTTGCCAGTCCTGGGACTTGAACTCAGGGCCTGGACGCTGTCCCTGAGCTTCTTTTGCTCAAGACTAACACTACCACTTGAGCCACAGCACCACTTCGGGCTTTTTCTATTTGTGGTACTGGGGACTCAAACACAGGGTTTCATGGGTATTAGGCAAGCACTCTACCACTAAGCCACATTCACAGCCCTTATCATATATATATATAAAATCATATATATATATATATATATATATATAGTGTGTGTGTGTGTGTGTGTGTGCCTATTCTGGAGCTTGAACTCAGGGCCAAGAGCTGTCCTTAAACTATTTTTTTTTGGGGGGGAGGGGGATTCAAGGCTACCACTATACCATTGAGCCATAGCTCTACTTCTGGCTTTGGGGGGGGGGGGGGTGTAGTTAATTAGAGATAAAAGTCTCACAAGGCCAGGCTCACACCTGTAATCCTAACTACTCAGAAGGCTGCAATCCGAGGACTGCAGTTCAAATCCAGCCCAGGAAGGAAAGTCCATGAGACTCTACTTAGCCACCAGCAAACTGGAAGTGGCATTGTGGCTTAAAGTGGTAGAGTGCTATCCTTGAGCACAAAAGTTAAGGCACAGCACCAAGGCTCTGAGTCTAATCAAGCCCTATGACTGACCGGGGGAAAAAAATTCTCACAGACTTTCCAGCCTGAGCTTGCTTTCAACCGTGATCCTCAGATCTCAGCCTCTTGAGTAGCTAAGATTACAGGTATGTGCCATCAGCCCCTGGCTCTACTTATCTTTCAAAACTCATCTGGAACATCTTCTCCAGCCACTTCCTCTATTTCTCCATCCTCTGGCTCCCACAGCCCTGTATCCTCTCAGGCAGGGCATATCCCTTATGAATACACCTGTCCCCAGTTATTGATAGACTTGTGCAGTTCCTATTTGTGTTTCCTCAGGCACTGGAGGCAGTCATAATTAGCTAAGTAAGAAAGCAAAGGGTGTAGCTCAATGGTAGCGTGCATGTTTTGCATGCTCAAGGCCTTGGGGTTCAGTCTTTAGCATCAAATGATGTCTGCCTGGAGACCAGAAAACTTCTAACTTCTTATGGGCAGTAGCCCATAAGAAATCAGTGTGGCTTAGTGGTAGAGTGCTTGCCTAGCATGCATGAAGCCCTAGGTTCAATTCCTTAGTACCACGTAAACAGACAAAGCTGGAAGGGGCACTGTGGTACAAGTGGTAGAGTACTAGCCTTGAGCAAAAGCTCAAGGAAAGTGCCCTGAGTTCAAGCCCCAGTTCAGGCCCTGAATTCAAGCCCCAGGACTGGCCAAAAAGAAAGAAAGAAAGCCTCCCTGGAGACCCTATGAAGGTACAGATGATGGAGGTTCCTGAGCACCAGAACCTCTTAGGTCTTCTCCCACTTGTCCAGAGGGGCTTGCCAGACTTGGGGAGTAAGAAAGCTGCAGTCACCAGGTGCCGGTGGCTCATGCCGGTGGCTCAATAGGTAGAGCACTTGCCTTGAGCTGAAGAGCACAGGGTCAGCGCCCAGGCCCAGAGTTCAAGCCCCACGACCAACAAAAAAAAAAAAGAAAAGAAAAGAAAGAAAAGCTGTGGCTGTAAATCACAGGACCTCTGGAGCTGTCCCATCAAGGGCCTGAGGCCCCTGCCTGCTCCAGCCTCCTCCTTGCTCCCAGGAGAGCTGCCCCCCACCCATTCCCTCTCTATGGCCCCAGAACAGAGCAAGCTGTGTCTGCAGGGCTGGCACCGCTCCCTCAGGCCTTGCAGTGCAAACACCAGCCCAAGCCCCAGGCACAGCCAGGCCCCGCAACCCAGCTTCATCTCCTGTGAGGTAGGCTTGCAGCTCACATACTGTTAGTGAGGGTTTGCACCTTGTGCCTCCTGACCTCCACAGATACAAACACGGGGGAACACGCTCTTACCCAAGGCAAGAGCTCCAAGAGCACGTAATGAAATCTTCCCAGCCCAAGGTCCCACACCTATTGGGCCCAGAGAAATCTTACGGGGCACGGCAAGATCACCTCACTGCCAGAGCCCTTGTGCTGGGACCAAGGTAGGGAGTCGTGAGCTCCCACACCAGCCAAGGGCTAGGGGTTATACCTCCAGTACGGTCACCCTACCCTGCCCAGCTGTGTCCTGAGTTACAGGCTGTCCTTCGACTTCTTCCCCCAGTGAGTCCTTCTCAGCAGTCCACAGCCCTAAGATCTGAGGGCACAGAAAAATGGCAAGCTATAGTCCAAGCAAGAGCACCTAGCTAGGCCTGCGGGGTTGGCACCGGCGCCCAGCACGTCCCGGAGGTACAGGGAGGGGGTGGTGCAGGGAAATCGGGAGGAGGCAGGGCCAGGGAGGGGCATAACAAAGGGGCACTTTTGGAAACCCGACCTGCCGGCTGAGGTGCCCTGCTCCCTGATGACGCACTGCAAAGCCGCAGCCTCCACGCCAAATCTCGGAGCCCAGGGGCCACTGATCTCTGGCCTTGACCCCGATGTTCCGCGCCCCTCACAAAGCCCCCCCCGCCCCCAGCCTCTGGCCCACCAGGCGCGGCACAATCCAGAGCCCGTGGAGCCCACGGAGGAGCGACAGCACCAGGCCTAGGCTTGGAGGCTCTCGGAGTTCTGGGCTAAACTTGTGGAACTTGGTCCCGGCGGGGGTGGGGCCTGCGGCCACCGCGGCGGGGAGGGGGCGTCCCCTGCCTGCCTCGGCCGAGCCCGCCGTGGACTCGGGATGGTGGGTCCTGGCGGCGGCCTGAAGAATCCCGAGGAGCCGCCGGGGCGCCAGGCCCCCTGTTGGAGCCCCAGAAGCGCGGCGAGGCGGGCGGCTTAGGGCCCTCGAGGGGGCCCCCCGCCCCGGAGACGGCTCTCCCTGCAGCCCCGACGGCCCAGAGTCCTCCGCCCGACTGCAAAGGATCGCCTGGCTGGCGCCGCCGCCGCGGAGACGTCTCCCCAGCCCTCCCGGTTCCCACGCAGCGGGAGGGGGTGGCCGGGGTCTCCCCCGCCCGAGGCGGTCCCATTGCAAACTTCGAGAGCGGGAGAAGCAGCGGGGGAGGGAGGAGGGAGGAGGAGGCGGACCAGAGCCACGATTCGCGTCCCCGCACGTCCCCGCCGAGGCACTCACCGCGTCCTCCCGGGGCCCCGCGCTGGGTGGGGGTCCGGCCACGCTCCAGCCCGAGTCCTACCACTCCTCGGCCAGGGCCGCCGCCTCCCGCACCGCGCCGGGCCGGGCCCTCCCCCGGGAAGCCCGGCCCCCGGCCCCGCCCTCCCCGCCACCACGGCCCCAACCCCGCCGGCCCCGCCGCCGCCGCCGCCGCCGCCGCCGGGCTGCGCGGGCTCCCGGCATCGCGGCGCCCCGCGGCTTTGCGGGGCCGTGGGATCGGCGTGCCGCGGAGGGCCAGGGCTGACGCCGCGGACCGCGGAGTCGGGTTTCGGCTTTGCCCTTCCCGGACTTAGGCAGAGCCTCGGAGACCCCGTGGGAGCGAGCGGGGACCTGCACGGGCCCCCCCTGGAGGGGGTGTGGGGACGACACTGCCTCACTGAGAAGTTAGCTCGGGGGAGAAGCTAACCACCACCACCCCTCGTAAGCCTTAGGGATCCCATTGTGCGGATGGCAGAAACTGCGGCTCAAGAGACTCCACCCGGGCTCGAGCGGGACTCCGAAGCCGTGCGCCCATCCACGTGCGGCTCGGCTGGTGAAGCCGGGGCGCGTTCGGAGGCCGGGGACACACGGGCGGTGGGGGTGGGACCCAAGGCACGACTCCCCCCCACCCCCGTGCCCATCCGCTGATTTTGTACGGCTCATTCAGAAATCCCTCCGCCCGCCCTCCTGCCTCCTGTACCCGGGTGGTAGAGGACTTCCGATTGCCCAAAATGCCACCGTATCCTTAAGAAAGCCTTTCTTCCCTTATCTCCACCTTCTCCCCCCCCCCCACCACACACACACACCAAACCCCCCTCCCTTCCCCTAGGACTTTTCACAGTCTGCCAGTCTGTTATTTATATCCACTGGAGTGGCCCGAGAGTGTTCCCAGGCTGACCTAATCGCCACCTGCTCGGCTTCCCCGCCCCTCCCCTCCCGCTCCCTCCTGGCCCGGGTGACCCAGCGGCGATGCCCGGAGCCCCGCAGACCAGAGGGAGTGGGCCGAATGGGTCCATCGCTCAGCGGGTCCTTCCTTGCCGGGCAGATTGGCTCCGGGGTAAAGAACACCCCCTCCCCCCCAACCCCCAGGCGCACCATCCCCCCCCCCACAGTGCGCGAGCTCTGGGAGCCTGGGGCCCCCATTCCCTGAGGGGTGTGAGGACGTGCGCGCCCATTTCCAAAAGGCAACTTTTAAAAATAGCAAAATCTTGTTGCTTCTAAATCAGGGAGCAACCATTGGCGCGTTCTCTAGGCGGATGAATCAGCTCGCAAAAGAGAAAGGGGGTCTGCAGAGCGTAAATGGCAGTTATTTCAGGGATAGCAGCATTGAGCTGCTAAGGGCTAAGGTGGGAGCATAAAACTGTCTCCCCAGGATCTTAGGGGCGTGGCGGGGGGGGGGAGACACTTAAGACGGGCCACCTTTGGCCTAAGGACACGTTACTGGTAGTGGATCTGAAACCTGAGCGTGTGGATTCTGAAACCAGTTTCAACATCCATCTTGCTTTTGGGGCTTTGACAAATCTCTTCTCCCCTTATCTCTGTTTCTGCCTCTATAAAACCTGACAGATGACCCTGTTGACCTTCCACTGGGCCTGGTGCCGCAGTTAATGAATGATTGTAAAACAACTGCAAATAAGAGCAGCTAGGGAAACATCTAATGACGGCCATAGCAGTTTGTATTCTTTAAAATTCAGTTAGCATCCATCCCAGTGCCTGGGGGCGTTTAGGCACCTAGACAGAAAGTGTGAAAATACAAGAATGAAATTAATTACGGGAGCCGCTTATTAAAGCCTCATTAAAAATGAAGTTGGCAGCAGGCTCTGGGAATCTAGAGAAATGAGGGCATAGAGACTGAGAAAATAGCGGTTCATCAGACCTCAGGGAGAAGCGGGATGTGGTGTGGAAAACATCTGGCTTCCCTTGGGTTCAATTCTACAAGCAGAGATCAGAAATATTGCAGTTGATCTTAATTGTCTCCAGGGTACTGTTTGTGGTGTGTGTGTGTGTGTGTGTGTGTGTGTGTGTGTGTGTGTGTGTGCTGTGTAATGGGAGGAAGGGGGAGAAATGAGCACATTTGGGCTGCTTCAAAGGAGACACACCTGCCTCTGGAAACTCTACTTTCCCTGCAGAAGGGGAATTCAGATTGCCCTATGGACAAAGCCTTTAATACATGCTGCAATATCAGTGCCATCCCCAACCTGAACAGAGTTCAAGATGACATGCTCCCAAGGTGGATCAAGACAGAAAGTTTTAATAAGAACAGCTTGGCTCAGGGCATCAGATGGCAGATTGGTCTGTAGCCAAGTATCAGGACAACTCATAGACTCACCTTGAGTTTCTGGAATGTCCTAACCACTGTACCTTCACTTGTTTATTTATTCATTCATCCAGCCAAGAAAATATTTGAATTTTCACTGGATGCTAAACCCTATGCTTAAGTGTTGGGAATATATAAGTAAGACAGAACCCCAGGAATACAAGAAAAACCAAGTTCCACAAAGACAGGACACTATTTGGCTCTGTGAGTAGGGAATTAGTCATGCAGAGAGGCATTCCAAGGCGGGTGCTTCAGGGAGTGCCAAGCCCCAGGAGTGTTAGCATATGATTTTACGACCAGCAAGTCTGCTTTTCGGCTTCCGTGCTACACAAATGCAGCAAGAAGTATGGAGATGTTTGCATATCCTATTTGCAATGGGAGGGGGAATGGAAACAAATGTGCATCACAAGGGAGGTGGTGAATAACTAAAGTTCACCCATGCTGTGGATCACTCTGCAACAGCTGGAGAACAAAGTACAGAGAGAAATTTTCCTTCAGTTTGTTAGTGCTGAGGATTGAACCCAGGCATAGGTACGTGTGCATATGCTAGTCAAGCACTCTACCAGAGAAAGACACAGAGACACACTCTTACATGAAAATCTCTAAGATACTGCTGAGTGAAAAGGTGCAGATCATGCTAATATTTAGAGAGAAAGTACACCAAATGAATTCCAATAGTTATCCCTAAGGAGAGGTCTCAAAGTGATAAAGGAAACTTTTTAGAATAATAGAAAATTTTCAGTAAGGGACTGTGAGTGTGGCTGAGTGGTAGAGTGCTTAGCACACACAACATAAGGGACTGGATTCAAGCCCCAGAATCCTTCGAATGGAATTGCAATAAGAACATGTATAAACTCTATAATTAGAATGCAGACTGAGCTGCACACAGGTGACTTATGCCTGTAATCCTAGCTACTCAGGGGGCTAAGATCTGAGGATTTTGGTTCAAAGCCAGCCCGGCAGAAAAGTCTGTGAGACTCTTATCTCCAATTAACCACCAGAAATCTTGAAGTTTGACACTGTGGCTCAAAGTGGTAGAGTGGTAGCCTTGAGCACAAAAGCTCAGGGACAGTACCCTGGTCCTGAGTTCAAGCCTTAGAATGGGCACCAAAAAAAGAAGAAGAAGAAGAGAGGGTGAGGGTGGGAAGGGGATAGTGGGAGGTGTTAGGTCTAAAACAATGCTCCCCAATAGAATTTTCTGTAGTGACAGAAATGTTTTAAAGCTGTGCTGTCTAATAAGATAGCCACCAGCCACTCAGCGCTATTGAGCACTTAGAATATGGCTAGTGTGACTGAAGAATTTTATTTATTTATTTATTTATTTATTTGTCAGTTGTGGGGCTTGAACTCTGGGCCTAGGTGCTGTCCCTGTGCTCTTCAGCTCAAGGCAAGCGCTCTACTGCTTGAGCCACAGCGCCACTTCTGGTTTTCCAGTAGTTTATTGGAGATGAGTTTCACGGACTTTCCTACCTGGGCTGGCTTGGACTGTGATCCTCAGATCTCAGCCTCCTGAGTAGCTAGGATTATAGGCCTGAGCCACCCATGCCCAGCTGAATTTATTTATTTTTGAGATAGGGATTTCACTATGTTGTTCAGGCTGGCCTGGAACTCCTGAACTCAAGCAGTCATCCTACCTCAGCCTCCAGAGTAGCAGGGACCAAAGGGTAGGCCACCTTATTTTATCTTTACCTATGAAATAATTTATTTTTTCATCTTCAAGTAGCTTATGAGTATCATGCATTTTGGTCAATGTCACCCCTCCCCCATCACTGAGAATTAAACCCATGCCTTTCACACTAGAGTGCACGTACTCTACCACCTAGCTATACCCCTAGGTCAGATTTATCTTCTTATATATATATAATTTTATTATTATTTTTGTTTATGTTGTACTGAGGAATCGAACCCAGGGCCTCATGCATGCTAGGCAAGCACTCTACTATTAAGCCATATTTGCAGCCCCCCCCCCAAAGTTATCTTTTTAAAGATAACTCTGAGCCAGAGCCAGGCACCCGTGGTTCATGCCTGTAATCTTAGCTATTTGAGAGGCTGAGATCTGAAAAGCAGGAGTGGCACTGTAGCAAAAAATCTCAGGGACAGCTTCCAGGCCCTGAGTTCAAGCCCCGCAATTGACCCCCCCAGAGAGAGAGAGAGAGAGAGAGAGAGAGATCTGAGCTGGACACTAGAGGTTCACACATGTAATCCTAGCTACACAGGAGGCTGAGATCTAGAGGATCAAGGTTGAAAAGCAACCCAGGCATAGAGTCTGAGAGGTGCCATCTAAAAACTAACCAGCAATGGGGGTGATATTGATCAGGATGCATTGTACTAATAATCTGACTTGATGAATTAAAACCCCTTTGTCCAACAACATAAAATACAAGCTGGGTGCTGGTGGCTCATGCCTGTAATCCTAGCTACGCAGGAGGCTGAGATCTGAGGATCATGGTTCAAAACCAGCCTGGGCAGGAAAGTCCTTGAGATTCTTATCTCCAATAAGCCACCAGAAAACCAGAAGTGGCACTGTGGCTCAAGTAGTAGAGTGCTAGGCTTGAGCTGAAGAGCTCAGGGACAGTGCCCAGGCCCAGAGTTCAAGGCCCATAACCAACAAAAAAATAAATAAATAAAATAGCAAAAATCATCTGAGCTGGAGGTGTGCCTCACGTGGTAGTGCACTAGCCATACAAGCCAAAGGCCCTGAGTTCAAAGTTGGTGGGGGTGGGGTGGGGGTGGGGGCACACAGCAAAACAAAAAACTCTGGCAATCCA